TTGCTGAACAACAACATGGCTACATGCAGGGTTCAAGCATGCCATAAGCTAGAGACCATTCCCAAGGCTGCTACTTATATGGGAAGCAGACAACATCCCTAAAGCAGCTATGCAGCTGCTTGTGGTAGATCCCACCATGGAGCTGATTGCCAGTCTCATCATGGGGAATAACTACCACCAGCTGCCCAGCCAAGTTGACACACAACTTTAACCACCACACATGTCATACAGGCTGAGGTTCACATGGTCCACTAGTTCCTTGGACTAATTGTTTCCACACATCTTTGGTTTTCTTCATTCTTTTTTGCTCAGATGAGAAGAGACACATTGTTTCATCTAGATGGCACTTGCAAGCTTTTAAGACCCCTGTCGCTACTCACCAATATAGGATGTAGTACAGTGTTTTCGTGTAGTGTGTTATGCCCTCAGAAGGTTGGGCAATTTACTTCCGTGTGATACTGCCTCGACAACCCAAGGAGGGGTTGCTATGCGTCGGGGCTGACTCGACAGCACATAACAACAACAACAACATGTTATGCCAATTGAGCTTGATGTCCCTTGCAATCATGGTCCTGAGCCCACAGGTTCAACTATTTGCTCCCTTAGGTTGGTTGGCTGTAGCCAAGAAGTTATAACTTTGCCTCTTGTTAGCTCTATTATATATTTGGACATTCTCACAGCACATACAAATACATATGTAGAAATACCATCTGCCAACCTTACACGGTCATGGGTATATTCCCTTTTGCCTAGACATACCTGGCCATTTAGCCTGTCTACCCATCTATTTACCCATAGATTAATGTTTTCTATCACCGACAACATAGTATTGTATATATAAAAGGGCTTATCTTTGTTGTCTGTACCTCTTGTGTTCCTCTCTGTGTCTTCCTTTTCCTCAGTGCCACTGTGTTAGTCACTCGTTTTTGGTACATTGCCCTTCCCTTCACCCAGACAAATACTTGTCTTAAAGAGGTCTTTTGCAGCAGATTTGCCCAGTGCAGTCTGTCATCTGATTTCTTGACTGCTGCATCCACAAGTATTGATTGAGGATCCCTGACAACTTCAATCTTTTGTCAGTTTTTTGTGATGTTGCTTATTAGTCCAGCTGTGAGGAATTTTGTTTTCTTTATGTTGAGGAGTAATCTGTTACGAAAGCTTCAAGCTTTGATCTTCATCAGTAAGTGCTTCAAGTCCTCTTCACTTCATTTCAGCAAGCAAAGTTTTATCATCTGCATACCATCACTGGTTGTTAATGAGTCCTCCTCCAATCCTGATGCTGTATTCTTCTTCAGATATTCTAGCTTCTCAGATTATTTGCTCAGCATACAGATTGAATAAGTATGGTGAAAGATACAATCCTGACACACACCTTTCCTGATTTTAAATCCTATAGTATCCCCTTGTTCTGTTTAAACAATTGCCTCTTACTCTATATATAGGTTGCCCATGAAGGCAGTTGAGTGTTCTGGAATTCCTTTTCTTTGAAATGTTATCCATAATTTGTTATGATCCACACAGTCAAATGGCTTTGCATAGTCAATAAAACACAGTTATACATCTTTTTGGTATTCTTTGCTTTTTAGCCAAGAGACGTCTGACATCAGCAGTGATATTCCTTATTCCACATCCATTTCTGAATCTGCCTTAAATCTCTGACAGTTCCCTACTGATGTACTGCTACAACCATTTTAAAATTATCTTCAGCAGAATTTTACTTGCGTGTGACATTAATGATAATGTTCGATAATTTCTACATTCTATTGGATCACCTTTCTTTGGGATGGTCACAAATATGATTCTCCTTCAGTCAGTTCGCCAGGTAGCTGTCTTTCAAATTTGTTAGCATAAGTGAGTAAGCACCTCCAGTACTGGCATCTGTTTGTTGAAACATCTCAAAGGATGTTCCATCAGTACCTGGAGCCTTTTTTTTTTTTGCCAATTTCTTCAGTGCAGCTTGGACTTATTCCTTCAGTACTATAGATTCTTAATCATATGCTACCTCCTGAAGTGATTGAGCATCAGCCAGTTCTTTCTTTCTTTCTTTTTTTAAATTGTGATTTGGGTGAAAATTTACAGAGCAAATTCACTTTCTGTACAGCAGTTCACATACACTTTGTCTCATGACATTTATCACAATGCACTTCCTCCCAATAGTTACCTCTTTCCTGTGTCCATCCCTCTATGCACTCCTGCCCCCTGAGCTGTCTCCTCCAATCAGAGAAAAGAAGATCATAAACAGCCCTTCTTTCTCCCATGATTGTTCTCTCCTAGGAGTGTATCTATCTCAGGTAAATGTTCAACTCATATGCATGTCTCTTGCTTGGCTGGAAGCCACAGGGGTGGGTTCAATTCCAGACCTGATGGGCAGCTAGGGGCCATAGTCTCAGTGGTTCCAGCAGGCTCTAATGGACCAGCAAACCTGGTCCCCCCCTCTTTTTTTCCCAAATGATTTTGAGTGTTTGTTTCACATTGTTATTCCTCTCTATCCAGGATCTCCTACATAGATCCCCCTCCAAGTGGTTGACAATAGTAGCCAGGCAACCATCTAGTTCTTCTGGTCTCACAGTCGTTTAGGCTGCAGATCGGATGGTGTACCAGTTGCTAGTACTAATTGTTTCCATGAATCTTTGGTTTTCTTCATTCTTCTTTGCTCTGGATGAGGAGAGACCCATCGTTGCATCTAGATGGCTGCTTGCAAGCTTTTAAGATCCCAGTTGCTATTCACCAAGGTAGAAGGTGGAACAATGTTTTGTGCAGTGTGCTACACCAACTGAGCTTGATGTCCCCTGTGACTATGGTCCCGAGCCCACAGGTTCAACTACTTGGTCTCTCTGGGTAGCCAGCCTGTTCTTTCTGATATAGTAACTCTGTGTATTCCTTCCATCTTCTTCTGATGCTTCTTGCATTGTTATATATTTTGCCCATAGAATCCTTTCCTATAGCAACTTGAGGCTTGAATTTTTTCTTGAGTTCTTTAAGCTTGAGAAATGCTGAGAATGTTCCTCCCTTTTGTTTTTCTAATTCCAGGCCTTTTCATATTTCATTATCATACTTTCCTGTGTCTTCTTAAGCCGAGGTAATGGGTCTGGTAAATACTGGTTCTTTCCTTGAGGGGCCTGAACCTCGGCCAGTCCTAGGCAGTTACACTGGGAATTCAGTAAGGGAGTTTGACCTTAAACTCATAAATAGGTATATTAGACAGCCAGCCTTTCCACCAGCCTATTGGATTAAAAATTATTACTTCTCTGAGTATAAAATGTTGGCGAGGCCACTGAATGCTAAACCTTGCTAATGTGCTGTATAGAAAGGACATTTCTTCGCCCTGAGTTTGGATGTATAATCTGATAGATTTAAATAAAAGATGTGATGAAACTGCTCATCTAAAAGTAGAAATTCATAATGTGACATTGTGGGCTAAGAGCATGGGGCTCTGCAGACACACTGCTTGGCTCTGCCACTTTCCAGTTGTGGGATCTTGAGTAAGGTGTTCTTTGTGCTTAGAGCTCATTACCTGCAAAAAAGGGAATAATAAAGCTGTTGGGAGGATTAGCTGAGTTGATGCATACGAAATGCCAGATATATAAGTACTTGCTATCATTATTTTTATTTCTGCTAATTGATTAGATTATATGCTAAGATGTCAATAACTATTAGTGGTAGAACTAACTTTTTCACCATCAAACCCATCTAGATTCTTGGTTTCTAGGCTGTCTATGTTCTTTGTTGTTAGAGTCTAAGAATTCTGTGATTATGGTTTTGTTTCTTTCTTTTCTTTTTGGGGGAGGTGGTATCTGCAGTGCTGAGAAAGATGCATTTCAAATAAATTTCAGTCTTGGAATATCAATACCTGATCGGTTACTTCGTTATATTGCTGCTATTGGCAACAGCCAAAGCATGCCTGTTGCTAATTAATCACTTCCACTGAGAATTTAATTAGTGGCTTAATTAGGGTGATCATTGAGTAGCAGGCAGCAGTATCCTGAGCCAGCTGCAAGTTATTGGCTAGCTCTGGCAAGCCCTGCTGGTCCTGTGAAAACTTAGACTAAGTAGAAAAGCTATTACTGTTATTTATTTGGCCCTCCTTAAAGAAAGTTCTGGAAGATCATCAGTTGTCTGTGATGCATCTTTATCTATCACACATGCAAAACGAAGGAAACATACTCACTTACAATGGATTGATCAGAAGATTGAGCTTGGTTATTGAGTTCTTGTGATTGTGCTCCACAAGCTGGGGACATGTTGTTTGCAAATGTTGACAATTAGACCATGCATTCTGATCGTGACAGATTTTATTTCTCTGTTGAAAGTTACTTTCCTTCTGGCATCATTGTTTTTTAATATATATTTTTTGAAATATTGCCATATTGTTACAGGATGAAGTCAGTACTCTATTTTCTTTCTCTTTACCACTCAGGAAAATATGGAAAAATGAAGCAAAAGTAGTATCTTCTTGCCTTATTTTCCTATAGAAGTAGAAATTGGGTTGGGGGGTGAAAGGCATGATGAATTTACTCCAAAAACAATATTTCTGCCAGACCTTTTGGTTAGAATGCCACTTTGCAATAGGTAGTTAAAAATATATACACCCAAGTCTTCTATTTTAGAGAAAAGAGAACTACTTGAGTCAAGTTCTCAAGTGAGGACAAAAGTCCCTCCAAAACCCAAGTCCGTTGCTGCCTAGTTGATCCTGACTCATGGCCATCTTGTGTGTGTCGGAGTAAAACTGCTCCGTAGAGTTTTCATGGCTGTGACGTTTGGAAGCAGATAGTGAAGGCCCTTCTTCCAAGGTACCTCTGGTTGGCTTTGAACCACCAACTTTTTGGTTAGTAGCTGAGTGTTTTAACTATTTGCTCCACCCAGACGAGCACTATGAAATAGATCTGTACTTCTTCTAGGCATATTTACTTCCTTCTTTTGACTATTATAGTTCTTTTAGATGATTTAAGTAAATTGTGAGTTTGGTGAAAGGATCAAGTGAAATATTTTGTATCCAACAGATTTGCTGCTGCTTCCAGGAGAAGTGGAACAGGACATCATCACCAGTACTCCTTCTTACATTCCTTCGGTGGACCAGCTTCTTACCCCTGAAGTAAATCCAAGGCCCACTGCAAATGGAGCTGGCAAACCAGTAGAAGAGGTACTATACAGGGGATTCAATTAGACTTGAAATCGTGTGGATGTGTAACTTGTCTTTTCAGAGACATGCTACTAGGCCCATGTTTTTTTTTTTTTTTTTTTCCTCTCTCTCCAATATAGGATTTATTTCAGCCTACAAGGTTGTCAGCACTATGTTCAGGGATATTTCAAATACAGCAACTAGAAGAATGTAGCTCCTTCCTGCTTAGAGAGCTGAAATATTTTCAGTTGCTTTAAGACTTTCCATTGCTTTTCCTTTACTTAAATGATTCTGCTAAAATTTACAGTGAGTACAAAGCCATGGAGGAAGAAATTTTAACTCTTAAGCAACAAACACGTGAGTAGTGGTTAGGAATTCAGTGTTCAAACACGAAAATTCATTCTCTTTTCTAGATGTAGAAAAGTAAACAGAAATTGTTCTTAAGTCCTTTCCCATTTTCGTGACTGTGGCTGATTAAACTTTTTAAAATTATAAACACCATTTGTTGCAGGTAAAATTATACATTGTTGTTCCCATAATGTGCTTAGTTATATTTTCTTCCTATCTTTTTCATTTGGTAAAGCTTTTTTTTTTTTTTTTTTTTAATTAGGATTTGGGTGAAGATTTACAGAGTAAATTCACTTTTCATACAGCAGTTCACATATACTTTGTCTCATGTCATTGACCAAAATTTACAATGCAGCAGCTCCCCTCCCACTTCCTCCCCATAGTTACCTCCTCCCAGTGTCCATCCCTTCATACTCTTCTGCACCCTGAGAGGCCCATTGTCTGCCAACCCTGTATATGATCTTGGATACACTCTCCATTTAGACATACATAAGGCCCATGTGTTTTTTGTATTTGTCTCAGATTTGGAAGAAGTTAGAATTCAAGTTACTTAATTGGTCCCTCTCACTGCCATCCATCTCTAGCATATATATTTCTTTTTAGACACAGAGCAATTATGCTTTTATGTGGAAACTGTTTTTGTTTTATGAGGTATGTCATGCAGCATAGCAGTGCTATTTGGGGACAAAGCAATAGAAAGGACAGACAGTTTTCTTACCTCTTTTAGTCTGAGCTGGCCCTTTTTCTTTGTATTATTGTTTCTAAGGCCCTATAAACCTTCTGTATTAGTTAAGGCCAAGCAAGTCTATAGCAGAGAATCCCAATAGTAATTCAATGGCTGAAAGGTGATAGAAGTTTATTTCTCTTGTGTAACAGTCTGAGGACAGCATCTGAAGTAAGCAGGTGGCTCCATTCTCTGGAGTCACTGGGGCCTTTAGTTCCTTCTCCCTGGACATCCACTATTCCTTAGGGCATTGTCCTTATCTGATGTTCCAAGCTAGACGACTACCACACTTGGGGGGAAGGGGGTTGAGAGCATGGGGGCAACATACTCCCCCAAGACTGAGGACTCAGACTCCTTCATTTCTGCTCATGTTTCATTGGCAACCACTTAGCACTTAGTTCCGTGTTCATGTCCAGCCCCAAGGGAGCCTGGTGTATGTCATCCAGCTGTGTGATTCAGAAGCAGGGGAGGGTGGAATCCACCTTTACTCTCTCAGATGCTCCACTTGAAAATCATCTTTGCCATCATGTTGCAGCTCTTCTATGTGTACTGACCAGGTGTGCACCAGCAGCTGCTGCTGGTGGTGTTAGAAAGGGACCTTTCTAATAAAAAAGTCTTACTCTAACTTAGAGAGAAATCAGGCACAAGAAGTTGTTAAAGGCTGTTTATTATGCTTCCTAATAAAACCTCTAGTGTGTTTCTTGGTTACTTAATCACTCAGGTGCTGTCTTGTCACTTCAAGATATTCTGTTATGGGCTCAATCATTCAATAAGAAATAATCCACACATTTGACTTTTAAATTGCGCTTTTTTCATAGAACTTTTGTCCCCTGACATCACAAAGGTACATCTGGGATGCTTGCAGACTTATATTAAAGCCCCACATTGGTTACCAGGTAAACTGATAGGGACAGCCACTTTTTATTGTGCTTTTTGGATTACGAATTGATTTCTCTGAAGAGTAAGAAGCTAAAATTGCGTTATTTCTGCAGAAATCAGCTTCTTTTAAAGCCTTTTTCTTGTTTTTATTTGCGATTATACAAGTTACAGGAACTGTGGTGGCACAGTGTTTAAAGCATTCAGCGACTAACCAAAAAACTGGTGATTCAAATCCACTAGCTGCTTTGCACAAGAAAGATGAGGCAGTCTGCTTCTATAAAGACTTACAGCCTTGGAAACCCTACATGGCAGTTCTCCTTTGCTCTGTGGGATCACTAAGAGTCAGAGTAGACTCAGTGGCAATGGGTTTGGTTTGGTTATACAAGTCACTGGATCAATAAGTGGTCATGACCCCTAGGACCATTGCTGTGAGGTGCCGTTGAGTCAGCTCTGACTCATAGCAACTCTGTACAAGAGAACGAAGCACTGCCTGGTCCTGCGCCATCCTCACAAGTGTTGTGGTATTTGAGTCCACTGTTGTAGCCACTGTGTCATCTCATTGAGGATCTGCCTATTTTGTGCTGACCCTCTACTTTACCGAGCATGATGTCCTTCTTCAGGGACTGGTCCCGCCTGATAACATGTCCCAAGTATGAGAGAGCGGAAGTCTTACGATCCTCACTTGTAAGAAGCATTCTGGCTGTACTTCTTCCAAGACAGATTTGTTCTTCTGCTAGTCCGTAGTATATTCGAAATTCTTCACCAACACCAAATTCAAAGTCATCAATTCTTCTCCAGTCTTCCTTATGCACTGCCCATCTTTCACATGCATTTGAAATGATTGAAAATACTGTGGTTTAGGTCCTCAAAGTGACATCTGTGCTTTTTAACATTTTAAACAGGTCTTTTGCAAGCAGATTTTCCCAATGCAGTTTGTCTATATAATGGTCCAGTAGGACCATTAATAGAAATTGTTATAATAAAATGGTTTTAGTTGATGGGTTAAAAAAAGCTGAATGATTTCTAGAGTCTTCCAAATAGGAAGGAAAATGCAAGTTAAATCCTTGTATGTATGATTGTATCTTTAAAAGGAATATAAATTCCTTACTAAAAAAATGCAAACATTTTTTTGATGTTGAAATCAAAATGATATGAAAGATGTTTGAGTTGGTAAATCCATGAGCCATAGATTAATAAATATTGCTGTTTTTGAGATCCCTTACAAATGGTTGGGAGTGTTTATTTTCCACCACTGTTTGTTAGAGAAACTTTTCAGAACTGTTTTGAATCACAATGTTGTGCCAATTCTGCCTTGGTTTAATACCATTAATCTTATTTTAAAGCACCCAATTCCAGTAAAAGAACATAATCATCCATTTCCAGCAAATGTGTCCTGTAAGAGCCTACCAAAAGGCTATTTTGGGGCTAGAGATGGTAGTTGCTTTTTGACTTTAGTCGCAGAAGATGAAAATGTATCCTGGATGTCCTGGCTTCCTCTTAATTGCCCATTGAGAATGCATCAGCCTTCTGATAGGAACTGGACCAATCTAATTCTTGTTTTCTAATTTGATCATTGGTCTTATATATGTGCATTTTCCCTTTTGAGTCAAACATTTTTCAAGAACTTTCCACTTTTCTCTTTGTGAATAACTTCTTGCCATGGTTACTCTATTTTGGTGAATTTTTGGAAATTTTTAACAGGTTCATAGCAAAAAGTTCACAATTAGGAAAATTAGAAAATTGCATTTTATTCTTTCCAAAACCATACAGAAGAGGAAATATAAGAAACCTTTGGAGTATTTTAGTAGGAGGAGCTTTGGTAGCATAGTGCCTAAGGCACTTGACTGCTAACCAGAAAGCTGGCGGTTCAAATCCACCAGCCACTCCTTGGAAAGAAGATGGGGCAATCTACTTCTGTAGTGATACTGCCTCGGAAACCCAAAGAGGGGTCACTATGAGTCAGGTCTGACTTGACGTAACAACAACAACATTTTAATAGGAGATCTCCTATTCCATTCATAACAGACTCTAAACATTTTCCCTATAAAGACAGTGTGTATTTACTACATCACTTTGTAAGATAGTCTGCATCTAAAAGCTGCTGTTATTGATTTGAGAGTTAAGCGCTGTTTTCTTTAATTTGCCAGCATGGCACTGTGAACAAAAATGAGTCCTCATCTAACAGTGTCTTTACTGGAATAAGTCACCTGAGCAATTTTAAGGAAACCAGAAGTTTTCTAATAGCATACAAATTCTATTCCCTGAGAGGCTACAAAAAGATTTCGTTAGATTTGAAATTAGACACCTGAAATCCACATATTTCTCTCAGCTCCTTAGGCAAAAGAACAAGTTAATAACTTAATTCACAGTTGCTTTTTGTTTTGTGGCAGGGAATTTGGTGTTCCATTGAACAAATTCTTCTTTTTGAGAAAAATCAGAATTTTAGTTTGTAATCTAAAAATCTCACAGTCGTGAGTCTTAGCACCAACCCTAAGATGAACCTGACTTGAAAGAAGAGAATTCCTAACACATGCCATGAAAGTCAGTGGTGGAAGTACTGACAGAGAGGTGCAACCTGACTGTATTTTTCTATAACAAAAGGTTGTATAACATCAGTATATTCTTTTATGGAGAAAAAGCCTTACTCAGTTTTCAATCTCATTTTATTTATTATACTTCTCTTTTCCAGTTGGACAGGATGAAAATATTTTGTCTTAATCACTTCCTATTTGAGGACATAAGCAGTTTCACTTTCTCTTCTCCTATCTTAGGGAAGATCCCGTGCTGTGTCCTGAGTTCCACTTTACCTGTTGTTTCACTTTGAGTGACCTCTGTGCCCCTTGCCTTGGAAGACTTTAAATTCATTCATGTGTGTCTTCATGAGCTTTTATTTATTAAAATGTAAAACTGTCAGAATTAATGCCAAGTACAGTACTAGGCATATAGTAGATGTGCAATAAATATTTATTGAATGGACAAATAAATTAAACCTACCACTACTTAGATGATGTGTAGCATTGGGAAAGTCAACTGCGAAGGAATTGTATCAAGTGCTGAGGAGCAAGGATAT